GATCCTGTAGAGAAGGCCAAGTATGATGCTGGTCGGGCAAAACTGGCTGCTAAGGCCGCTGCGACCGCTTCAACAGCATATTCCTCCGATCCCTACGGCTTTTCGAGACCGAACAACGCCAAATCGACCCCTACCGCAAAACAACAATTCCCTTTTCCACCGCCTCCCAAGCCGGCGCAAAATCGTGCCCCATTTGCGACGGTAAATCCGAAGCAGCAAGCCTCTTCTGGTGCCGATAAGTTCAATGCATTCACCCGCGGAGTACCACAATCATGGGACCGTTCGAAGTACGATGAGGCTCGAGCAGAGGCCGCAAGAGTTTTCCCCACCATGAGGCCCACGTCCTCTGCCCAACAAATGCCACCGCGGTCGGTACCCAGACAAGCCCCTACTGCTCCCAAACCACCTTCCAGCTCAGATATGCCATACGCGCCCAATGTACCGCCCACGGGTTTTCCAGGCTTGTCGAGGACGGCAAGTTCCAGAAAACCAGACTATCACGGGGCAGACACTTCGCAGTTTCCTCGTTCGGCGTTTTCTTACGTTCAAGGAACGCGCGGACAGCCGCCACCTCCTAACCCACATATCCACGTCCAAGACAACCAATCCATGCGTTCACCGCCTGTTTCTAGAGCCAGGCCCGCGGTGAGTCCTCTGCGGCATACGCGATCCTCCGATTATGACATGAGACACGATCTCGGAGGTCGTCCACCCTCAAGATATGCAGGAGGAGGCGGGGAGCGAACAGACATCAATGGAGACGGTCTACATCGTTCGTCGAGCGTCCGCAACTCACCCATTGATGATCGAGGACCGTTTGGCAGGTCCTCGACTCGCTATGAGAGTATTCCACGTCATCGGAGTGCCAGCCCTGGGATGCGAAAAGCAGGGATACATGCAGATTTCTCAGAGACCTCTTCAAGTGACGAAGAAACGCTGCATACGAATTCGAGGCCGAAAGCTGTGCCCCGGAGCAGACCAACCGCCCGCACAGGACCGAGTTATGATGCTGACAACAACCCGGGCTTGACGGGCCAATTCCCCAGTACTAACTATACTAGAATTGTCGATGACAGTCGGTATCAGTACCCCCCTCCCGAACCAAAAGAATCGAGCCGCAAACCCTTCCCAGGCGTGACAACCCCAGAGGACGAGGGACCCAAGCCTAATGTGTGTCATAGTGGCGGAGGAGGTTCGGAAAAACCCAAGTATGCTCCCTTTTTCTTGGATTCCCAAACCTGGTCCCGAGGAAATAGACGTGATTGTTTTGCCCAAAGAGGGCGTTCCTTCAACGGATTTCCTTCCTGGGCAGTCCCCTCGAGTGTTTTCCCGCAGACCACGCCTCCTCGGCCTCATAGGCAGAACGGTGACACCCCTGGGGCAGGAGGTGGTCTTGATTCTGTTCAGTCGTGGAGCAAGAGCGCTAACCCAAGCGTCAGTAATGATTCCGCCCACCCCAAGGTCCACACGACATTCTCAGCGGCGGAATGGCATGATAAGGTGACGGCCGAGGACATCTTCCGTCCAGATGAGTCCCAGACACGCAAGTCTCCCTCGAAACTCAACCGAACCGGGAGTAAACCAACGTCACGAGGAAGAGCACAATCACGGTCTGCAGAGCACGATCCTGCTTCTTCATCTGAGGTTCCCAATGGTCATACAGAAGACAAGTCGACCGCATTCCAACCTGGAAAGTTGGCTGACGACTGGGCTGCTAAAGCCTCGGCGAGACCAGCTCCTTCTCGCAATCCAAGAGCAAGCCCCGCTTCTGACACCACTGACGATTCTAGAGATCGCTACGTCGTGGTGGAGGAAGACGCAATGGACGTCGACACCCCGCCAACTAACAATACCAAGGTCCCTGCCTCAAACGGAGTCAAATATCCAGCGAGCGGGGAACCGCCCCGCCCCGAACCGAAACGTCGGTCAACAAATGGAGGGGTGGATCTCAAGGAATTTGCTCAACAAGCTCCATTTGCGCCAACGTCGGCCGGGCTCAAAGGCATGAAAGATGACCTTGAAACATTCCTCCCATTTGAGTCTCGAGCATCTAACGATGTCAACCTCAATCGTGCAGCGTCCGCACGGATCCGGGCTCTGAATCTGCCCAAACCACCGAAAGTCGTGGTTCCGCCGGCTGCGGATCGATTGGACAAGATCAATTTTGCGCAGTATGTGTCAAATATGGAGAACTACATGCGCGAATGGAATTTGTTCAATGCAAGGATGCTAGAGCATTTCCGATCCCGGCAGGATCGCGTTTGTGGCACGATGAGCCCACACTGGATTGCGCAGCCCAGTGACGGACCAGATGCAGATGCATTGGATAAAGACGGTGCTAGTGACAAACTGGCTGGATACGGCGCGTATATTCAATGGCTCAAAGACGATGCGCAGTGTCGGCATTGGTGGGAAGAGGCAAACGAAAGGCACCTGGAATGTATGGAAGACCTGGGAAAAATCAGGCAGGTTGCGAAGCAAAAGTTGCGGCCTTGATGAATATGGCACGGCTTCATAGATTTACTGCGGTACTTTGGAGAAGGAATATGCCATGAGATAAAAGGACCTTGACTTGACCAGCTGAGGCCACAAGGTGCAATTTGGAGGCAGGAACTGGGCGCAGTGTGGATGAGATACCCTTTTTGTCCTTGTTGCGCGGTTGTTGGCGTCGACCGTGAGATGCATGAGCATCCTTCTGAATACATGTAATTTTCAGGAGATTCTGGACATGGATGTATAAGTAGTTAGCATACGTATGAGACAGCTAAATCTGACTGTCACCAGCAGGCACAGCCATGCCTCAACACTCAACAGTCGCGACAGTAGAGTCTAAGAGTACTGAGAAGTACGAGCATAAGCTTCACCAAGCATCTACTAAGCCCGCCAAGCTTTTGTTGCCGACTCGGGAAGTCGCCTTGTCAGATGCTTATCTAGTCTCAGCTTAATGCTTGGGGCTAAACCCCATCACCAACGATTCGCCCATGTCTCAACCTATCGTGCACTTCAATTGGCGCACCTCTTTGGATTGAAACTTCCTAGACAATCGCCAGACCACTGCATCCAATGACTGGGTAAACGTTGATTGCTCCGACCAGGCCACGCAATCCCGCTTCGCGTAATGGGTCCAAAATCCTGGAATTGTGCCAGGAGTTTAAATTGACAGCTCAGCTTCCAGTTCAGCTTGAGCTCTTTTTTTTCCTTTTTGTCTCTCGTCCTTGTACGGGGAAGTCTCGCTATCTAAACCTACAGGACTCTGCTTATCACAGAAACACTCGCTCCTCTCGACAGACTATCAGAATCTCACGCAGACTCACAATCAGCACGATGGACGCCGAAAACCAGCAACAGAAAAGCCAGGCTCCTCAAACCCAATCGGAGCCTGAAAGTGCCATCTCTCAGCAGCCTGTGAGTTTGCTCCATTTGTCTGCGACGCATCACACTTCCTCTTATGCCCCCATTGTCATACTACTGCTGTTGTAGCTTCGAAAAGACGTCGAATTACCTGATAATGTGCTGACATCTCTCTTTCACAGGCTGCCCGTGAATCAATGGATGCCAGCGGCGTCAGCAACCGAGTCGGTCTCCGAGGCGGTGGTGAAGGCGAGGACATTTGCTGTGGTTTGTATGTCTTAGCTGCTCTTCCGTCTCTATCCGACAACTCTAAAACCTGGACAATTGGCCACTGACGTGGTTCAAACAGGTGCGCCGGGTTTTTGTGCTTCGAATGCTGCAAGGATTGCTGCTAGAGGGGGCCACAACACCACAGAAGCAGTCGGACTGCGGACCAATGCGTGTCTACGAGCGCGATGAGTACACGGGAGACTGATACCCTATAAGTCCATCCAGCAAAGACGTTTTTGCGCCTGGGGAGTTGCAACCAATATACACCTTCAAGTCCATTTCAGATCTTTTATGTGAATGTCCACTACGTGGTTACTGGAGATGGGTGATCTTCGGACTCCATGTCTACTTTCCACTGCTGTACTTCGTCAGCTTCCCTCTCTCGACCGTGAATGCCAATCCCCTTTCCATTCGATACTAACATGGTTTCGTTCAGGAGGTACGGAGCAGGTTGGGGTTCTTGGACTCTAGCTGATCCGGGTCATAGATGGTGCTTGCCATTTGCCCAGTACATGAAGCAAACTCGCCAAAGCAACGACAGGCTGATCCGGCTGCTTTTGAGGCGCGGGGTGAACACACAGATCAGGAATGCTCTTGGCGAGGCGCTTGCTGCGGGTGAAGCGGCTGGTGTTTGATGCTAACCTCTGTCTTAGAGGGTATGGCCTGACACACTTTGTTGGGTTATTCGCTGTCGAGTGTCTACCTGCACGGATAGTTCGTACAGTGCCACAAGTGCCACATGCCTCTTTCAGTCTCCTCGACAGATCAACATTGCCGGGTTTCCACGACACCGTCAAAACGTCAACATCTACAGAGCTGCCACCGAGTATAACTGACCGTGACACAACTGAGGGAGGCTATGGCTGCTAAGGTCCATCATATACATAAACTCACATTTAGCCCCTCCGTTTTTCACTGGGATCACATGGACAATGGCTGCATCTCAGGCTCCCCACTTCACGACGAGAGGGTTTCCAAATACCACGTTTGAGATAAAATGTAGAAAAAGTCGTATTGGGGATCGAATACACTCTCAAGACTCCATGGTGTGGTGGCAGGACTTGTACAGCCACTACTAGGAAGCATTTGGGTGACGAGACAGGTTTTGGCCCCATTAGTGTATGAATGTAGTCTTTGTGGTCACGCGCTCACGCACAACTAGTCATTGATTCACTCGACACATTCAGGGAGATGGTCACAAGATAGATGAAACCCAGATAGGCAATTTGATGGATGGGAAATAAACAGCTGACCAGACCTGACCTGCCTCAACTCAACTACCTTGACCGCCGGCTCCGCGGTACCAACCAACGAGTACAACCACATCGCCATCGCTATCGCTATCACCAACACCACCACCCACAGTCTCCTCTCAGACAATGACTCCCCCATCAGCCTGGCCGGCCATGAACCCCGTCGTCGACGCCTTCTGCCACTGGATCGGCCTGGACTATTTCTACGAGTGGCAGCGGTGGGGGACCCTGGGCCATTTTCTGTCCGTCTGTCGCCTCGTCGACACAAACGGCGTCAGGCAGCTGCACTGGAACATCAACACGTGGACCGATGACGAGGTCCTGGCGTGGAAGCAGTCGTACATGACGACGTGTTCGTCGATTGAGGTTGCTGTGAGCCTGCCCCTCCCCTCGTCTTCTCTCTCTCTCTCCTTCTCCCTCCTTTTTGGGAGGAAGTGGTAAACAAAAAAATACTCGATACACATGAATTTGAGGGACTTTATTCATCCGCTCACTGATGTTGTTGCTATGTAACAGGGCGCCATCTTCGCCAGCGTCGGCCTGACCGCCCTGCAACTCCCCAACATGGACTCGACGCACTGGACCGCGCGGGCGCTGCTGACGTGCTCGATGATCCTCGGGGTGCTGTCTGTCATCTTCGCCGCATCGCAGCAATCCGACATGGGCATGCTCAACAAGCCGCTCGACATCCGGCTGTTCCTCAGCCGGGGCAAGGCCGTGCCGACGCAACGCGGATACCGCTACCGCAAACCGTTCGCGTTGCTGCCGCTCGAAAGCTCCGTCGCCGCGCTCAAGCAGTTCGACCTGCCCAAGGTGGTCCTCAACCTGGCCGTGCTGCTGTACATCGTCGGGGTGGGCGTCTACCTGCTCTACGCGTGGCTGTACCGGGTCGAGCCGGCGGGCGGGCGCGACGACTTCCGCAACGTCTTCATCGCCTTCGCCGCCACCGTCGGCGTCGTGTACTTGTACGTCGCCGTCGTCGGCGCCCTCGCCTACGCCGACAACCGCAAGCGCACCGAGGACTTTGACCTCGACCGCACCACCACCTTTGCGAAACCGGCCTCCCAGGTCCAGCTGGAGGAGTGGCTCCGCGCCCTGCAGGACATGCAGAGCACCACCCTCGAGTCCGCAAACGTCTACATCCGCCTGCAGACCGCCGTCGACGACCTCAAGGCCAAGTGGGACGCGGACAGGGACGAGTTCGAGCACCGTAAAAAAGTAATGCGCACCGCGCAGAAGAACAGCAGGAAGCGGCGTGCGAAAGACGCACCAGCGGCTGCTGCAGCAGCAGCAGTAGCACATCGTGCATGAACCTGAAACTGAACCTGGACCAGACCGGACCGGACCGATCCGGACCAGAACGAAAGATAAAAGCGATTAGATGGCTGGCAATGTTCTTCGTTTGCGTCGAAGTCCAGGGTTAATGTCACGGTCACAGTCTTTGGTGGTTACAGTCGTAGTAGTGATCTGGTGCTAGATTCTCAATTTATATTCCATGTCAAATACTAGTAGTAGTGCGGTTGTTGGACTCTCTATGGTCTTCTACTCTAGCTCCTAAGATCAATTCGGACTTGGTGGGCGGTTAGAAGCTTCCACTCGCTCCCTCATCCCATGGCAACCACAACCTCCCACGGCCGCAGCAACATTACCCAACTCCTATCCTGTCCACTGTCTCTTCGTGTCTCATTCGCGCTCTCCCCATTGCGCGTGTAATTGCGGAACTCGTCCAGAATGGCACCTCTCTTCAGCCCGGCTTCATCAAACAAGACTGGTGCTGCTTTGGCCGGCGGAGTCCACCATATCTCCTGACCCGAAAAGTTCGTTACGACGAGGCACTTCCGGGCCTTCTCGACGCTCGCGGCCGATGAGTCCGGATGGTCTGCTTTGGCGGAATCTTCTGTCCTCAGATAGGCGACCACGGTGCCAAACTCGTTGTCCAAGTCCAGCATCTCGAAATCGCCGTACACAAACACGTCCTTGTACCGCTTGCGGAGCTGGAGCACGCGCTGCCAGTAATGGAATGCGCTGTCGTGGTCGGCAAGCTGCGCCTCGGCATTCCACTCCCTAAAGTCCGGGTGGATGGACATCCAGGGTTTTGCATCCTTGGAAGCCCCATCAGGCAGGAAACCGGCGTAGGTGTCTGCATCGGACGTCCATTGCATTGGCGTCCTGGCATTGTCACGCCCAATTAGACGATACTGTCTCCTATAGGCGGCTTGTTTCTCTTTGTCGTGGGGAAAGTCCCTCAGCACCGTCTTCCAGTGATTGAGTTCCTCGATGTCCTTGTACTCGTCCATACCCCAGCTCTCGGGCACATTGATCTGGGCCATTTCTTGGCCCTGGTACACAAAGATGGTGCCAGACAGAAGACCCATGTGTGCAGCCAGCAACTTGGCTGACTTGGTCCGGTAGGCATCGCTGTCGTCGCAATACCGGGAAACAGTCCGTCCTTGGTCGTGGTTCTCCATAAACACGGCGTTCCATCCTGCGTTCTGGAGCATAAATGACTGCCACTTGGACACGATGTGCTTCAAGTTCTGTGGATCAAAGTCCTGATGATCCCACTTGATCCCGCCGGGTTTGACGTCCATGCCCACAATGTCGAATTGGAATACCATTGCGAGCTCGCCGCGATCTTGTCCCACAGCCTTGAGGATCTCCTTGGTGTCCTCCACCCCGGGCATCTCACCCACCGAGAATGCATCATACTCTCTGAGAATCGCCCCGATCTCGCGCAAGTACTCATGCAACCGTGGACCGCACGCAAAATACTTGGTACCAGACTGCAAGAAACCAGGCCGTGTAATTTCTCCGTCCGGCAAGCCAGGCTCTTTAGAGATAAAGTTGATGACGTCCATCCTGAAGCCGTCCACACCACGATCTAGCCAGAATCGCATCATGGAATGAACAGCGTCTCTGACCGCCGAATTCTCCCAGTTTAAGTCGGGCTGCGCACTTGCGAAAAGGTGGAGGTAGTATTCGTCCGTGGCTTCGTCGTAGGTCCAGGTAGAGCCAGAGAAGGCGGATTCCCAGTTATTGGGTGGAATGCGATTGCCGTCATCGTCGTAGCGCGGTGGCCGCCAAATGTACCAATCGCGATATGGGTTGTCTTTGGAGGAACGCGATTGCTTGAACCACTCGTGCTGATCAGACGTGTGATTGACCACTAGATCCATCACGTATTTGATGCCGCGGTCGTGTAGCCCTTTGATGAGCTCATCATGGTCTTCCATCGTGCCGTATCCCGGATAAATGGCATGGTAGTCAGAGATATCATATCCCATGTCCACTTGTGGAGACTGTAAGATAGGACTGAGCCACACAATATCCACCCCAAGACTGGCGATGTAGTCCAGCTTTGAGATGATGCCACGAAGATCACCTTTTACAGTGCCCGAGGCCTTGTCCACGGTGCAGTTGGCTGATTTGAAAGACGCCGGATAGATCTGATAGACCGAGGATTCCTTCCACCAGGCACGGCTGAGAGGTGGCTTCTCAGCTGAAGCAACCTGTGATGTATCGGCCATTGTGACCCGTGCGCGATCGACGGCCCTGTCGTGAAAAGCGTACTGGTCTGTAACCGTTACCCTACACCTTGCCCTGAACGATCGGAGATGACTTTGAGGGGAAATACGTGGCGACCGACTGCGCTGCTGCCGACGCTTTAAATGTCGCAGATTCTTAAGAAGAAAACAAGTCTCTGAGATTAGTTAGTATATACCTTTACTGGAGGCGGTCAGATTCGAGTGCGAGGAAGGCTTTGACAGAGGCGGCGAGATTTCCTAGATGGTGATCACTTCCTCTGTTACATGCATACAGACACATTGGCAAGTTGAGTTGACACTGCGGCAGTGACAGAGATTCAGAATGGCACGTCATGTCACAGCAGTCATGAATCAGAATGTTGGTCGGCATTGCAACCATGCCGAAGCCTCACCATGCCATGCATGCGGGAATCTCCCTTGCAGCCGAAAGTTTCTCCGAGATCGAATCAATGTGCGATGCTGCCGGTTTAGTTGGATGATGATGATGCAGTCAAGATATTCTTATTTCGTGATGGGTGACGGATCGATTGCCATCTGAGACGAAGCGAGGAAAGGAATAAATCGGTGGGAGTGTGGTAGGTAGCAGATGCGCAGGCGCAGTCACAAGCGCAGGTGGGGGAGGGAGACACACACCACGTCACCACTACTGCATACACTTCATTCACTTCATTCACTCTCACTTTCACACATTCACACCATCTACTCGTATGTCTATATCTCTTCTCTAGACCTCGGACAATCATTTCCAGTCAAGGTATCGACGACCAAAGACAGATGAGCTCCGATGATGCCAGACTTACACACTCGCTGCATGCTTTGTTGCTCCGTATGGACTCTGTACACCATCAACCTCGCCCAATAGCTGTACGCCCTCGTCTGCCTTCAATGAACAAGAAAGTCCTTCGATCAAACCTAAAGGTCCCTGGATCTGGCGCTGGTACAATTGGCTCTCGCGTCTACCACCTCTCGCTCACAACTTGTTGCCTCATCAGTCTAATAGGCCCCTGTTTTCCTACCTTCAGCTTGATGTCTCGCTAAGCTCGACCAAGTGCTCGCTACCAATCCTTCCAACGGTTGACTCGCTACTGGGAATATTGGGGTCGAAAACTTACTCGCAGTATGCCTCGTATTCGAGTGCTCGTGCCCACTTCCAGTCGACTTATCCGAGGTGGCTTGGGCCGACTGCCGGTCTAGCCTCACTCCTATCCTAGCCCACAAGGGACACGATGCTCACGATGCTTGTCTTTACCTTTTCAAAATATCCGCAGTAGGAAGGTGCTTTTCATACGAGTATGATCACCATCCGTGTTGTACTTCTGCCATCCGTATCGGTACAACCTAAAGCGGCTCGATCGTGAGAGAATAAAGACTGCAACGGAAACCGCATACTCTTCGCCACACCGGGATTCTTTGTGAAAATATGAGCGTTCCGTATCATGGAGTCAGGAAGGTCATGGGGACAATGGTATGTCAATAATTACGCACTTATCGACAACACACAATCAGGTATTCTATGGATCGACCCCGAAGTCAGTCCATTCTCTTTGTCGACTTGCTTTGGCCAGACCCTCGTATCATCGAATCAGCCCTACCCGATACATGTTCAGAAGCGGCATACTGTTCAGCCCCAGGCTACCGGCCTTTTGAAGCTTGAAGTTGTTGGCCAGACCTTCGTATTAACGAGTCCGCCCATGGCCACCGTCACGATGAAATGCAATGAGTATACATCCTCAAATCCCCACCACATTCTCGCAGCGTAAGAAGGTCCCAACACTCTTCTCCCCGACTCCTCTTCCACTATCAATTTCCGTCTCCATGTTGTTCCTCTCTACTCTTCATATTCCTCTCCTTGTCCTCGGTTTGGTGTCAAATACTCTTGCATTAGTAGCACCTCGTGCAGTGGCGGATTGTCCCACGAACGGGTTTCAAAGCGGCCGAAAATGCATCCCATACGTCGAGAACAAAGACATTGCTGGCATAAAATTCAGCCTGTATACATGGGCCGATCCAAAGGCCCCGGCGTCTCCTGTTGCTGATCCCAAGTATCTCAAACCTCTCCAAAGCGCGGCAGCAAAAGTTCTCCCAGTCTATGCAGACCTCATGCAAACCAAGGTCAAGACAGTCAGAGTCTATCTCACTGAAGAAGATGGTACCAGGCGTGGAGCGACTGATTATCATGAATCGGACCCAACCATTTGCAGCGTTCGAGTCATTGGCTCTGGAGACGGACCGTCAAGCGACATCGAATCAGTTCAGCAAGCCCTAGTTCACGAGTTGTATCATTGCGTCCAAAGAACTTTCGATATGGAAAAGCCGGTCCAAGACGACTCACTTCCAAACAACTGGTGGTTCGAAGGGTCTGCAGAGTACTTTGGCAATTTCTTCTTCCCGGACACGAAACCAGACCACATGCAGAAATATGATCCAGCGTCACCACTCTACAACCAAAAGCATGACTTCGGCTATCCAGGCAGTCTCTTCTTTCAGCACCTTTCCAACATCTTCACCTCGAACAAGGAAATCCATGACTGGGTTGTTTCGCGCAGGGGCACGATCAGTAGTACACTTCAGAACGAGCGGCAGTGGCTTTCTTCAGACTCCTTCATTACCAAGCCGTTCCCCAGCTTTGCGACGGCGTTCAAGGATGATCTGATCTTGTACAGCAATGGCGAACCGGTCCCTCGTGACTTCAAAGTAAATTTGCATACAGCGACATCCACTCTTTCAGATGAGCCGGGCGTCTACGACGCCAAGACCTATACACGT